CCTAGATCTTTTGAGATTCATTGAACTTTTCAATGGCATGTTTTATCTCGATTATGCCCTTCTATTTGTGACTGGGATGCCGAGGATCACAAATAAGGTGTGAATAACCATGCGAATGTACTTTGTGCACTCAATGTCATGCTCACCTAATCAATGTGCCGGTTAACCACACATGCTCCATTGATCTATGACAGACATCGAATCACCCTTCGCCACCATTGCCAAACCCAAATTAGCGTGACGGTTAACCACACGCGCTCCACCAACGATTGACAAGGGCACAAAGTGTAATTCCATGGATTAGCATCACTTTCACATTTTATCCTAAAGTAACTAAGATTGGGAATTTGTAAAAGCATTCAGTTACTTTGTACTTCATTATACTTATAATGGAAGGTTTCTGTCCTATCCTACCCGTTCGGCTAACGACCCTCCACTAGTCAAGAGTGTGGTGGGTAAGAGTGGATACCCATTCAATCGCCATTTTATAGGCAATTTCCTTAAACACTCCTTATAGACCAGCTTCGTGAATGAGACCTACTAATGGTAAGACTGACTCTTTGCTCATATTAGACTTTTAATGTTACATATATATAGTATAGGGTGTATTTTACACTTTTAAAATACTAGGTGGTTTTTATTAACTTCCTCTTTTAATTAACTTAACAAAACCATGAGGGTGTAATTTGAACTTTTCAAAATACTAGAGTTTTAGAATTTAAATATTACATAATTAAACTATTAATCAGAATTTTAAATTCCAAAACTTGAGGGCATGTTTTGAAACTTTTCAAAACATTAGGGTTTAACTATTTAAATTTCAAAAACAAAACTTTTAAGTTCAAATTTAAACTATAAAACCTAAAAGGAGTGATTTGAAACTATTCAAACTTACTAGGGATCAAATAACAAATAATATAAATCAAACAATTAATTTAGTGATTATCTATATTTGACCTAATCTTATTTTAGTCATTAGATAATTACCAAATAACTTTAAATAATCCATATTTATCAAATAAACAACTAATATTCAAAAGATTTGAAATTATCTATTGTTTTAGCAAGGATAATCATTTAATTAGAATAAAATTCGGGTTTTAACTCTAAAAAACGATTTAGGCATCAAATCCAAGACAAAACAGCAACTAAATCTCGAAATATCCTCTGCCTGACGCACAAACTCGCCGAGTCAGTCCTGAACTCGCCGAGTAGGGCCAACTCGCCGAGTCCAGATACTGACTCGCCGAGTTGAGTCGGGCAGAGGCAAGAAAACGATTTTTTAGCAACCAAAATAGTTAAGCATCACATACAATTGAAACCAATCAAGGCTCTGATACCACTGATGGGTTTTAAGCATAAGAACAATCCTATGTGCTCATACAAACCCTAATGCTTGGATCTAGGTTTCTCTATTGTACATGCAATGAATCCAAGACTTACAAACCCTAGATCTATCAAATAAGAACTGAAATAAGGGTTTAGTAATTACCTTTGATTGTTATATAGCAATAATAATCAATCCTTGCTTTGATTGGCTTCAGAAAGCTTAGTGCCTCAAGTGTTGCACCTCTAATGGAGTCACAAACACCACTAAGCAACTTGGATGAAGAGGGAGGAGAGTGGATGCACCAAAAACGGCTGGAAACCCTAGAGGAACACTTGTCCACGTTTTTTTGGGGCATAGGGGTCCTATATATACATGTAGGCTATTAGGGTTTACAACTAGGAAACCCTAATCCGACTGCTTAAACCCTAAGCAGTCCAATGGACCATTCCAGAAGGCCCTTGGACGATTTCTTTATGGTCCTCCATATAGAATTCGTCCATTGCCATCTAATGGATCCTAAGCCCAACTTTGTAACTATCTTATAATTACAATATCAGTCCCCTTAATTTAATTAATCTCATTTAGTCACAAAATTAATTCTTAATTAATTCTTGACTAATATTAATTAAACTATATGATTTCTCCTTTAATATATTATTCTTATAATATATTAATAAATCATAATTAAACCTTTCTCTCTCCTTAATTCATCCTACATATTGCTATGGTGAAGGCAACCCAAAAGGACCATGCTCATAATCGGGTCAAGTACATACCAAAACAGTTATGGACTTAGACACTAATCCAACAATTTCACCACTAGATGTGATGGAGAACCACTCTAGGAACTTGGGACTACTTGCACTAAATGTTAGGACCTTAAAGGATTGCATTAGGTGAGTGTGTGGCCACCTTTAAGGTGTGAGCGGCCATGGGTGTGCGGCCGTACACTCATAATGGAAGGTGTTCTTGGGGTGTTTCAAGGTCCATACTTGCAATCCATAAAGTGTTCTAGGTCTATACTCGATTATTGTGCAAGTTAAGGGTCCTAGAGGTGGGTTTGTGGTCCTAGGGTGTGCGTGTGGTCGCACATGGGAGTGTGCTGCCGCACAAGGGTGTGTGCGGCCGTACACAGGTGTGTGCGGTCGTACACCCCACACAAAGATGTCCAAAACGTCAAATCTAGGGTGTAGCAAGGCTAGGTTCATGTCCAACTTGAATATGGAAGTCCAACTATCACTTTGGAGGGTCTTTTAGGAGTGTGCGGCCAACCTTATGAAGGTGTGCGGCAGCACTCCTTCAAGAGGTGAAGAACATGATGAAATTTGATGAATCAAGGCTTAGATGGAGTGGGTCTTCAAGTATAACAAGCTAAGGGATGGATTACTCACGTTTTTGAAGCCTTGGGAGGGTTTGCGTTTGAAGAAGCTTGAGAGAGAGAGAGAGGTGTGTGCGGTTGAGGAGAGGGGAAATGAAGTGGAAATGAGCCTCCTCTATATATAGATAATGGGTGTGCGGCCACACACTCATGTGTGCGGCCATACACTCGGGTGTACGGCCACACACTCATGTGTGCGGCGATACACTCGGGTGTGCGGCCATACACTCGGGTGTGCGGCCACACACTCATGTGTGCTGCCATACACTCGGGTGTGCGGCCACACACTCATGTGTGCGGCCATACACTCGGGTGTGCGGCCACACACTCATGTGTGTGGCCACACACTCCTTTTGATGGAGTGTTTGGCCTTTTTGCAACCCTAAATCTTAAGCCGACCCATCCCTAATTCAAACTTTGGTTGTACTCAAGGCTTTAAATGTTTAAATGAGCCCTTAATCAGTGTTAGGAGTTAAATGGAACGAGTTTAACTTAGATTAAATGACTAGATGTACCAGGTAGGAGGTTCGGGTTGTCACAGCCTAAATCTCGAAAATTTGGCAGCCCTATATGAGCACAATTGCTCTCGGTTTTCATAGCCAAAAGAAGAAGAAGAATCATGCTAGAACTCACTTCTAACATTCCATACTCCCCCTTATATATAAAGACCAAAAGGCAAGAAGAAACCATAAAGCAAAAGCATGAGACATGTTTCTTACAAGCATGGTAGAATTGATTAAACAATTTAAAAGAAGACCATGCTTGGTATTCTCTCAATTTTCGAGAAAAGCAAGGCACAAAGAAGACAAAAGTTGTCTCATGGCTAGTTGTTATATATTTATATATACATACATGTTATCTTTATAAAAATTCAATCTTATTTATAAATAATTCTCAACATATATATCTATATAACTAATCATATATAAATATATTATTTTATATAAAACTACCTTTTATATAAATTTGTAACTAGTTTGTTAAGATATAAATATGAATATATAAATATCTTCTTTTATATAAAACTACATTCTATATAAATTGAACTAGTTTATTAAGATATAAATATAACTTATAAATAATCATACTTTATGACATATTTCATAAGTTGTTATTTCTCCCATAAATTTTATTTCCACAAATAATAAATTTCCAATTAGTAAAATATTATTTCCATGAAATAATAATTTTCTAATTAAATACAAGTGTTGATATATTTATTAATAATCAAATTATACTAATAAATAATCAAATGATGGTAACTTGGTATAAAGGTGTGTCTCTATATGATCATATATTATTAGCAATATCATTCTATAATGACTCTTGGGCATAATAGATCTTTCAATAAGGATGTTTTTTGAACAGTTCAACAAATTTAATGGGAAAAAATGAACAAAAAAACTCAATGACTAAATGTATACAAATAAAAAAAAATATATTTTACTATTTTAAGTCATTATCCCAACTTTTAACTCTGAATGTCCATACTCCATATAGTAAAGGGTTAATCTAAAAAAAGCCCTTATATTTTGTGTTTTTCTAGATTAAAACCTCAAATTTATTTTTTGTCCGAAAAAGATCTTTTATTTATTATTTTTTTTTCAAAAAAGCTCTCAACATTGTATTTTTAGTTTTAGAAAAAAATCCTCAACCTTCTACATGCTTTCAAATAAACCCTCAACCTTTTAGATTTTCTCGAAAAAACCCTCATATTTTACAATTTATTTTGAAAAAAAATGACTAAAAGGGTTAGATCGGAAAAAATGAAAAAATACAAGGTCCTTTTTAGGCAAATTTTTTTAAGGTTTAATCCAAACAAAACACAAAATATAGTCTTTTTTGAGATTACTCTATAGTAAAAGCTTTCTTTCGGTAAATAAAAAAACCAAGTTTCCGGCACACTTGTTCTTAGATTGACAAAAAAATATACAATTATCTTACGAAATTGGTTTGATTCTACTTGTTTGAACACTAGTTATTATATCTTTTAACTTATGTACCAAAAAACAATGTGTATTGGATCGAACCATTTGCATTTAATAAGTGTATCCACTTCAATTTTAATTTAACAACCGAACCCAAAAAATAGGTATAAGAATATATATTGCATAATAAGATCCATACAAACCAACAAAATATACATATAATTTACATAATTTCCTCCATCTCGAAACTCCAAAACATGATTCCAAGACATTAAACCTTGCTTTATTTTTGCTTCAAATATATCACACACTTCTTACTACATTACTAAACATTCGTGATAAACCTTATCTTCACCATAAACCCTTAACCTTGGTATGCTGTAGCACTTGGTCTCGGCTCAAACTCTTCGTCAAATGTCCTTTTACCTTTAATACTTGCAGTGTCAACATAAACTGAGGCACTTGGTCTCGGTTCAAACTCTTTATCAAACACCTTACCTTTTACACTTGCACCGTTTTCATAAACCGAAAGGTTTGGTATTGGCTCAAAATCTTCAACAAATGTCTTCTTACTTTTTAAACCAACACTGTTATCATAAATCAAGATATCAGGCCTTGGTTCCAAGTCCTCATTGGAGGACTTTCTTTGGTGGCAGTCACTTCTCTTTGTGGCATCAGGTGACACCAAAGAACCTCCTCGAACATGCAAGTCTTGTTGATATTCTTCAGGATTTGGCCTAGCATAGACAGTGACCGTGATCTGCTTAAAGAACATTTGAAAAGCTATTGGTTAGCATAACAAAACTAAATTAAAAAACACGGACATTGTAATGGTGCATCATATATAGATTTATAACATTAGACAACAAATTTTTTTCTACCATGACGAGAAAAAAGTGAGCCAAGAAAGAAAGATGTGACTCCATGTTTCGAATACAAGTATCTCTGGAGGGGTTGGCATATGCAATGAATGATACCTCGTATTTATATAGTTAAATTGAGATTGAGATGTTTATCATACAAAAAAAACATAAAATCTAAAATTGTCGTCCTTTAATAATATATTATTTTTTCTCAACTATTGTATTATATCCATACAATTTCTAGTTTAGATAAGGTTTACAAATCATTGTGAATTACTTAACAATTATTTATGATTGACAAAATTTCATAATTGGTCCCTGTGGTTTGTAAAATATCTTATTTTGAGGACTTTCAAGGAAAACGTCACCCCACTGGTCCCTATGGTTTGCAAAATTACATGAAAGGTCCTCCTGCCGTTAAATCTAACTTTTCTTTAATGAAAAAGACTATTTTGCCTTTGTACCAAATTTGCAATATAGCACAAACCTCAAGGACCATTTGTGTAATTTTGTAAATTTGAATTATATATATATATATATATATATATATATATATATATATATATATATATATATATAAATTTTGTATATATGTATATATATAATTTCAACAATTTGATAACTTATTTATTTATTTATTCTTTTGACATTTTGTTTTCTATTTTTGTTTTATAATTTTAGTTATTTATGGTTTTTTAATGTTTTTATTTATTTTGATTCAAGTAAATAAACTTGAATTCGATAATCCATATCGAAACCGTTTTTTTCTTATTTGTGAAATGAAGCGTTAATGTTTTCTTTTTAAATTTTTTTACGTTGTTACGGTTCATGTTTTTTTCATGCGTTGATCGATGTCGTTGTATCAATAAAAAATAACCTAAAAAACCACTAGATAGCTAGGGTAAGTAAGGGTCGAATCCACGAGGAGTTCGTGGTTAAACCTTTTGTTAAAATAGTCAAATGTAAAAAACTAATACTTGCAATTGGTTGTTAAAACAAATACTATGAATGAGAAAACAAGGTACTCCAGGTTCAGTTGTCAGACAGTTTAGATTCACGCACTTTCTTCCATAAAATCATAGTTCAATTACTTAGATGTAATTGGGGTTTATTATCTTGCAACACATAATTTTGGGTACACAATATGTTCATTCAACTAGTTGTCTTACTCCCTACGTCTACTTGGATTAGGAACAATTAGTGAATTAGCAATAAAGTGTCTTGCAACTACCTATTACAATATTAATATTTAATATCACAAGTTGGAATAACACACGTGGATTCAACCAATTGTGTTTGTTCCTAAACTACTTGAACTTGGAACAATCAGTGAATTGACAATGTACTATATTAACTATGAAATCACACAAATTCATATAACCCAATTTCAATCATTATGTAACACCTCGTTTATTAAATAAATAAATAAAATAAATTAATGAATGAATAGTAACCCCAAATCAATAATTATATAGCAAAGTGTTGGTTTCGAGGGTAAATTGGCATAATTTAGAAGTTAGGGGTTAAAAGTGTAAGTTCTGGATTGGTTGTGTAAATATTTATGAAGGTAGGGACTACTTGGTAAATTATTGGGACTTAAGATGGATAGATTATGGGAATCAAGGGCTAAATGGTAAATTTCGGACCCAATTTGTAGAGAGTTTTGAAGGCTGGGGTTAAAAGGGTAACATATGGACTTTACTTGAGAATAATTTGTAGATGAGGGGTTGTTTTGTAACTTTTGGACTTAAATTGAAAAGGTTTTGGAATGTTGAGGGTTGTATGGTAATTGTTGGATTAGTGTCTAAGCATGTAACCATATTTGGTAAGTACTTGACCCGGTTGTGCATGGTCCTTTTGGGTTGCCTTCACCAAAGCAATTTGACTGGAGAAATAATAGAGAAAGAGGTTATTATGGTTTATTAATATATTATAAGAATAATATATTAAAATAGAAATCATATTTATTTAGTTGACATTGGTCAAGAATTAATTAAAAATTAATTTTGTGATTAAAAGAAGTTAACTAAACTAGGGGGGCTGAACTGTAATTATGTGATAGTTGCGGAGTAGGGCAAAGGATGCCCTATGGGATAGGGTGGACGAATTCAAGGGGATAAGGCCCTAGAATTCGTCCATGATAAGGCTTCTGGACTTATCTTATGGGCTGCTTGGTGGCCAAGCAACCAGATAAGGATAAGGACTGAAACCCTAATCCCTACACCTATATAAGGACCCCTTGGCTTAGGAAAATCGGCCACTTGATCCTAGAAGTTCCTAGAGCCGATTTTCTACCTCTCCCCTCTCTCTTTCTCTCTCTCTCTCTCTCTTGCCTCTCCATTTGCTCTTGGTGTTTGTGAGCCATTAGAGGTACTACACTTGTGGTACTTGCTTTCAAAGACAAGAAGATTCAAGATACAAGTTGTTATTACAACATAACAACAAGAGGTATGTAATCCATTCTCCTTTATGAATTTCGAAATTACTAGGATCATGCTAGGGTTCTTCATGTGTTCATAATGTTGTATAACTAATAGTGAAAACATAGATCTATATCTAGGGTTGCATGCACACATAGGATTGTTTGTCTAAAACCCATCAGTGGTATCAGAGCATTTGGTTTTTTGTTTTCAATTAGCATTATACAAATGTATGAATTCGACACTTTAGGGTTTATGGCCAATAAACCCTAGGAGGCATGATTTTCGAAATTAGGGTTCTTGAACTCTGAATTTCGAAATTTGATAAGGGTTTCCCAAACCCTTTCCTTAGCTCCCAAGATTTCAAATTCTAGGGTTTGCAAACCCTAGGGTTTCGATTTTGGCCTCCTCCCCAAGATAAGATCCCTAAATTTTAGGGATTAGGATAATGCCATATCTTGTGATTATCTTTTAATTGTTTAAATATGGTAATTAAAGATTTTGAATTATCTCATCCCATATTTTCGATTTTTTAGGGTATTTAAGGGATTAGGTTAAATTAATTGTTTAATATAATAAGATAATCCTTCAAGATTTAATAATTCAAATTAATATTTTAATTTTGGGATAATTATTAAATCAAAGTTTTAAACTAAAGTTTTAATGTTTAAAATTTTAAATTAAAAGGTTTTAAATTTTAGAAATTTTAAACTTGATTAAAACCCTAGTATTTTAAAATGTTTAAAATACACCCTATACTATTATAATATTACAAGATTAATATGTATATACGTATAACTTAAAATGCTAGTCTCACCGTTAGTAGGCCTCATTCACGAAGCCGATCTATAAGGGGGTATAAGGTTATGGCCTATAAAATGGCCGTTTAATGGGTGTCCACTCTCACCCACCGCTTCCTTGATTGGTGGAGGGTCGTTAGCCGAACGGGTAGGATAGGGCAAACCTTTCCTCATTAAAAGTGTAATGAATTATAAAAGTAACTAAATGATTTTACAACAATTCCCAATCTTAGTTACCTTAGGAAAAGTGAATTGGTGCAATTCCATGAAATTATACTTTGCACCCTTGCTAAGACGTTAGTGGAGTGCGTGTGGTTAACCGGCACACTAATTGGACTCGAAGCATAGGTGGCAAAGGGTGACTCATTGTTTGTCATAGTTCGATGGAGCGTGTGTGGCTAACCGGCACATCGAATAGGTAACTGTAACAATGAGGGCACCATGTACATTTGCATGGTTATTCACACCTGCTTTGTGATCCTCGGCATCCCAGTCACAAACTAGAGGGGCACATCGAGATTTAAACACGCCATTGAAAAGTTCAATGAATCTCAAAGGAATCTAGGAGTTTTCAATACATTTAAAACTTAATCTCTTTTTCGTTTTTCATGGTGGAGAATTAGTGAATCGTCATTCACTTACCTTCAAATTATTTACTTGTTAGATTACGGCATCCCTCTTCTAATTTGTAAATAATGTTGTGTTGGGTTTTGAGCATTCTAACACTCCTAAGTGTACATGCAACCCTAAATACTTTGGATCTATGTTTTCTCTATTATACATGAAAATATGAATATTCCAAGGTATTATCCTAACTAGCATACATAACATTGATTCATATGGAATAATACAAGTTAGAAGACATACCTTTTGATGTAGCTTGATTCCATGGAGCTTAAGAGCCTAGTGCCTCAAGTGTGACACCTTAAATGGTTCACACAACATCAAATACACTTAGAATAACTTGAGAGAAATGAGACACTTCATAAAATCGGCTAGCCCTCACCATTCCTTCATAATGGCCGATTTTTGGGAAGAACAAGATGCTTATATAGTGTGTCACAATTAGGGTTACACCATGTAAACCCTAATCATCATGGCCTTTCATTTCCATGATCCATGGGTACAAAAAACCCATGGAGCATCCTATGGGTTTTAGCCCAATTGATAATCCATGGAGCATTAGCCCACTATACAAGTATGAATGATTTACACAATCAACCCATATATTTAATTAGACTCCTTTAGATCACTTAGTTAATTCCAAATTAATTATTGATCATCTAAATTAAATAATCTTATTAATATATTAGAACTTATAATATATTAATAACACCTTAAGTGTTATTTCTCTCATTTTAGTCTATCCAAATGCATGATGCCATGCAACCCAAATGGACCATGCCAATCGGGTCAAGTACAAAACAAATATTAGTGACTTAGACACTAATCCAACAGTCTCCCACTTGTATAAGTCGAAAACTATTATTGTGTATGACTTCAAAACCCAACTAGCAATTATAGCTCTTAAAAGTTGATGCCGTCGAACTCTGAACAAATCAATGACGCGTCCATCAGATAAGGGATCATATATTCCTCCATTCTAGATATCATATGGACTGAGACATGGATTAAAATCATTCTCTCTGTCCATTTGTGGTTTCCCGATTTCCGATTTATGATGACCGACTAATTGAACAAATCAAATCAGTCCTGGCTTGGCCAAGCATTTCGGGGTGTCATCACTAAATCATCGAGGGGCCCACATATATCGCTTTTATCCCTTTAAGGGTAAAAGGAATGGATAAACTTCGACTCATATGCTTGTTCTACTACTTGTTGAATCATACACAAAGACACGTTTTATAACACCGAGTTACCAAATACGTTT